ATACCATTTTGCTACCACAAAACCAGGAGGATATGTAGATATTCGATATAACCAGTATAAAGGCAGACTGTATGGAACGGCTAATGGGTCTTTAAATGTTACTAAACTAACCATTAGAGACCAGGGAGATTATAAAGCGAATATCAACACAAGAGAAAAACAATATGGACAACTCTATGATCTCCGAGTGTTTAGTAAGTTACTAAAAACCCATTTTACAGAAATTATTAAAAAGTCATAGATAGATTTTGGCTAGCTTTAACAGGGAAAGATTTTGTAATTTGTCACTGATTTTCATTGGAACGATTACTATATCCACAGTTCTGATTTCCAAATAGGATGATAATTTATGGAACATGGAGATTTAAAGGTAAACAGTAATTTCACTGAAATTTACACTGCTGAAAATTTACATGTAACAGATATCCCTACTGAGCACAACACACACATACATCACTCACAGTAAATTAACCCAGGGCTCTAGGAGGAGGATCCCATGTGACACCATGCCCATGCCCAAGGAAACCTTAATCCAGCTCTGATACAGATGATCTTCTGGTTAATCCTATGCTTCTTAGAGAAGATAAAAGTGAGTCAGAGTGCAAGCATGGCAACCGCTCGTGGAGAAGCATTTAATGAGAAGCAATGGCTTCTGTTTTGTTCTGGGCCATATAGCAATCAGGAAGTCCTCTCTCAACTGTATGAAGAACAGCTGGACGGGTGCATTTTGGCACCATTATAAATGTTCTGATTTCTCTTAAATCAAAACTTTTATAAAATGTGAAAAACCTTTTATTTTGTTTTTTTGGGTGCTTGTATATTGGCACCTTGACACTTTGCTTGCCTTCTTGCTTAAGAAACCATGCCATCTCAACTGGACCATTGACCCATTGGATTAGCTTTATGTAAGACGCCTTGACTCCCTAGCTCTTTTGCCCCGCATCCTGAGCACCCCTTGCTACACCATGACAAATTGCAAGAAAGTATCCCTTAGTGTCAGAAAGCTGAAATAAACAAAAATAGCTTTATTATATAACACACATATAAAACAAATGATCAAAATGATCCACTGCCGCTTACAGCGTTCATATGTGAGTATATGCGGAACATCCAGCCGCTACTCACTAAACCCTCTTAAATAGAGAAGCTCTGGTCTCCCAGGCTCTCAGTGCAATCGCTTCCCTGAAGTTGGTAAAGTGAAGTATCTCAAAGGCAATAAATGCCGATCGTATCTCGTGGCTTCACAAGCTCCGCCCACTACGTGTTACTTCTGCGTGTTTCTTTGGCATTGCCCGGCTTTCTCAGGAAGTTGCACAAGTGATAGAAAATGACTTTCCTGTTACTGGTCACTAAAACCAGAACCAGGACTGTCAGCTGGACAAAATATTAGTAGATAATAGATAATTAAATCAAAATTGCCATCAATATGTCGGAATATAGAGAGGGTTCATACGTAGATTCAAGTGATTAAAATAGCCTAAATGGCTCTTCTCCTGTCTAAAGGACTCTTAGACGTAAAGAATCTATTTGAGACTCAGGACTTTAATATAATCAACCATAGTATGTCCATGTCAACAGTAAAAGCGGTTGTGGAATGAGCCTTTAAATTAACTCCTGTAATCTAGATGGAAAAGACAATCAGTCAAGGAGGAACTTTGAATATTGGCTGTATATAAAGTAACACTTGTAGCAAAGCCCGCTGTATCAGAAAAGCTACAATAAGAGTGTAGTTAAGCAATCAGCAATTTAGGATAACAGCATTTAGCTGGATACCAAGTAACATATAATAAAAGGAAAAAAGTCTACATGAAAATTCGTAGATTAATCACAAAATATGTCATAGATGATAAATCTTAAGTTAGTGGTTTCCTAAATCGCTATGGGGTACAAAGAGTATCTGTTGCCCCCTCAAATACATACAGAGCCAGTCCAGATTCCTCAATCAAATAGATAGTTCCAATCTAGATAGCATATCAGGAGTGACAGGAGGAAAAGGTGAAAAATTAGGAAATAATAGTGCTAATGTGTAGAACCATGCTTAGAATGCTGGTTACCTACACATCGTGAAATAGTGCCCTAGAAGTGAAAATAAAAAGTGAGTGAAAGTGAAGGAGGTTTTTCTCCTTCACTTTCACTCACTTTTTATTTTCACTTCTAGG